AGATTCAGTATTACAACATGATTGTGGCAAATGAACCCCAACATCTGTCGCTACTATTTCTAAGAGGAAGTGGGTTTTTGTCTGCTTTTCTTTTTACTAAGTCTGCAACATTATCAGTTGCCGAACGGATTTTTACAGGGAGAATCAACACCTCTAGGGCATCACAAGGAGTCAGAAGACGGCAACCTCAGGGAGCACCGCTAACGACTGTATCCCAGTTACTGAGAGAAGAGGATACAAGAGAAAGAGTGCTCATCTCTCAGGCACACATGCGCAAGCACGCACTCACTCCTCTCCATGGCTTTGTTCCCAGCTCCCCGACCTCTGCTTTTCCCACTCTCGACTCTGCCTCTGCTTTCTGGGGTCGAGGGATTCAGCCTTGCTTATGCTCCTGTTGCTCCAGCTGTTCCTTTGCACGAGTCGCTAAGTGGATTCGTTGGGAGTTCAGAATTATTTCCAAAAAGCGGGCAGTTTCTGTTCATCAACAAGTGACGGTTCTACCCGGGAACAAAAAAAAAAAAAAAAAAAACAAAACCTCAGGGGTGTTTTCAGTCCTTTTCCTGAGCCGGCACATGTTCTGACCCACCCCTGTTGCGTGCAGAAGCACCTCAGCCTCTAAAATATTGCTGCCTGCAGCCTTGCTTCCTGAGGGCTGCGTTTGGGGGTAGTCGGAGCACGGTCGTGCCCGGCAGTGGACTCGGGCACTGAGCTGAGCAGAGGAAGCCGGTGCCCCAAACTGGTGCACATCCCTCCCGCAGCACGTCAGCAGGAACGAGCAGAACAAGAGCCGGGAGCGGGAGATTCAGGTCTGTGCAAGCCCCACGGCCTCACCTGAGACGGTGCGGTTAGAGGATTAGCACCATTTCACACGCCGCGTCTTCAGGCAGCGGAGAGGAGTGGAAGCCCCACTTCACTGTTTTCGTCCCAGCTCTCAATCACAAATCATAAAGTTCTGGTGGAGAGAGATTTTCACCCCTTTAAAATTTCAAGCACTGAAATAGGGACAATCCGGTAGGGAACACCCTGGGAGCAAAAGGCAGGATCCCCTTGGAAGAGTCCAGGTGTGCTTTCATCGGGACTGGGAACACAGACTGAACAAATAGTAGCTTGTGACTAAAGAGGTGCACAGAGGGGCACTCCATGCTTCTGTCCCCCTGCCTAAGCATCCTCTTAAGGAAGAAAAATCAAAAGGCGAGGAGACTTCTTACTGAGTTCAGGATGCAGGAAAATGCGCAGCCACCTTCTCTGCTCCTGTCATATTAGCCGAACCTCATTTGCTATTCCTGCTTTGCTTAATCACCTAAACTGTGATAACTCACCTAAAGCAAAATCTTTTGCACAGACCAAGACTGTATAACATGCACACTCTAGCCTACCACTTTCCTTTTGCCCAGATCTTCCACAAAAGCAGAACAACTTTCGGCAAAGAAAAAAAAAAAAAAAAAAAAAAAAGCAACTGTAAAAAACATTTTTTTTTAAAGAATGTAGCATGATGCCATTTTCCTTATATGGTAACTGGTATCCCATGTGGAGTCTCAAACAATAGCCAGCCTGGCAGGGGGTGGAGTAAGAAGACGACTTGGGGGAAAAAAAATTATATATATATATATATTCCCTGCTGGCCCTCACCCTCCATTTCCTCTTGGATTTCTTTGTGATTGCACTGAAAGGGGTCAATAGCTCCCGGCTTGAGAAATGCAGGTTTTGAAAGGTCTATCACCAGCATCTGTATTTAAAGCATGCCTTTTACTTCACAGCCCCCCCAGCTAATGCAGAGCTTTTAAAAAGCGAGCAGCAAGATAAACTTTCAGGGAGAAGAAAAAGAGAAGAACAGAGGAGAAGTGGTACCTATCTGCCTTGGGTTTACTGACAATTTTACTGGAACAAAGCTCGACTGGCAAAGCAGGGACAGGGAACGTAAGCCACATATGATATAAAGCGCTACGGATCACTACACCTTGCTTCAGCCACCATCTCCCCATCCTTTCAAGTATGCTACAAAAATCACATGAAGCAGCCAAGCACCAAGCTGGAAAAGGATTTCAAGTGATTAAAAACAAGGGGAAAATTAGCACTGGACACACTGAACCCATCAAAGCTTTGCAACTCGATCTTCAGTGTTTAAGAAATTCTGATCTGACGAACACAGGCAATCTAGTAAAATTTGAATAGGCTTAATTAACTTCTCTTGATAAGGAAACACTGGACCAGTGGCTAAGTTTATATTTAGGCTTTTTATTTGAGGAAAATAAAGCTATGGCATGTTAGAGCCAGGGATTTATTGGGAGAGAGGAAGAACAGGATTGGAACCTTCTCCTTTTGTAGACACAGCCCATGCAGAAGGCTGGCACGTGCAGAGTTTTTCAGGACCCCCAGCCCTGCTTCATGTTGCAGCCTCACTCAAACATCCAACAGCAATTACATTGCAGTCGTTTTCTGTATGAGGATGTGTGTCTTAATTCACGTTGGAAGAGGATGAATCCAAGTCTCCATGCAACGAGTTTGTACAGATCAGTTGTTGCTCTAGTCTCCAGGTGTAAACGGGTTGAAATTCCATCCATGTGCTTTAGAAACTGAGTAACAGTTCTCACTACTAAAACTTTTCCAGATTTGAGGAGCAAAACAGGCGTTGCATCACAGAAGGAAGCTCCACTTTGTGTTAAGTGGAGACAGACAAAATAAGACCAGCTATGATTTTCCAGCTCCATTTTATTTGACTTTATATTCATCTGTGTCATGGTTTGAGCTCAGAGGGCAACCGAGCACCACAGAGCCACTCACTTCCCCTTTCCCCTCCAGCGCTGATAAAATAAAGCGAAAGGCTCTAGAATTGAGATAAGGATGGGGACGGGCGACTCACCCATTCCAGTCACAGGCAAAAGGCAGACTCGTTAGGGGAAGAAAGAAAGAACATACATTTATTACAGACACTAACAACACTTAGCAGAGTAGGACAGTGAGAAGCATTGCCACATCTTGAGAACACCTTCCCCCCACCCCTCCCTTCTTCCCGGGCTCAGCTCTGCTCCCGATATCTCTACCTCCTCCCCCAGTGGCAGCACAGGGGCAGGGAATGGGGGGTGCAGGCAGTGCTGCCACTTCCTATATCTTCAGTGGGGGGAGCTTCTGGAACTTGTTCCCCCTGCTCCATCGTGGTCCCCCTCTCACAGGAGACAGTCCTCCACAAACTTTCTCCAACATGAGTCCCTCCCACAGGCTGCAGCCCTTTCCAAGCTGCTCCAGAATGGGACACCCCCACATGCTGCAATCCTCCCAGCACTGATCTACAACAGTGGGGGCTGATTCTTCCCACAGAGTCCTGGCCTCCTTCAGGCTTAGTCACCTGATACAGTATAGGGTCCCCCACAGACTACAGGTTGCCATCTGCTCCACCGTAGATCTCCATGGGTGGCAGCAGGGGGCCGCCCTGCCGTCTCACCACAGGATACAGGGGGGTCTCTGCTCTGGCACACCTCCCCCCTCCTTTCTTCCTCCGTTCCTCCACTGACCTTGGTGTTTACGCAGATGTCACAATTCCTGATCACAGTTCCAACTCTCCCTCCCAGGTCCCTTCTTAAATACGTTATTGCAGAGGCGCAGCTGATGGGCTCAGCCTTGGTGCAGAGGCGGGGCCAACCTGGAGCCGGGGGAGCTTCGAGAAGCTTCTCACAGGGGGTCACTGCTGTAGCTCCTTCCCCTGCTACCAAAACCCCACCACTCACTCAAACCCAGGACAATCTGATTCTTTGACTGGAACCTTTCAGAAAACATCAGCAGAAGCCCACAGTGTTGATCTAAGACAAGCCTGAAATTCACAGATGGAAAGATGCAGCTGTACCTCCAGCAGCACCACACACAGCAAAAAGCTATTTCATACAGTTCCTACCAAATTGTCCGAGACAGAAGTTCAAAACGAGGCCAGAGAATGCTCCAGAAACAGAGAAGTAAATTGCTTCTGGGAGTCTCTAGCACAAGCAGCATATGACTTTGCACTTCACTTTAGTTTCCAATCATACAATCTTTCTCACAGGCATTCAAATACATTAGTCTGTACCTTATCAGATCCTGAATTATGATTGTAGAAAAGCTCCTGGAGTCTGAGAACTCTGTAGTTCAGAGACATTTATGGGGCTGTAATAAGTACTGACAGATAAGCCACACTCATGCATACAGGCTTGCAACTGATGTCTGGTTTAACACAATACAGCCCTAAGCCTTCCATAATACAGCGTAAGAAACAGAATCCTCCCATCGCCTACTACTAATTGCAGCTGCAGTGGTCAAGGGTTGAAAGAGAAGTAAGCAGATTAATTCTATTAGACTGTGCAATAGTATCCCAAGGGGACAAGGGAAAATCCCATCATTTAAAACAGGACTGGTAGACGCTACTGGGAACAATGTTACATACTAGTAGGGGATTAAGGGTTTGGACTAAAGGGCCTCATCTTTTCTAGATCTGGTTTCCATGAGTCATAGCGATTAGAACTGGAAGGCTTTTCTGACTGTTTTGTTTTGTTTTTGTTTTTTTTTTTTTTCCACTTTTGGATGACCTGAAACATCTTGCCCAGTTGAAAACAAAATTATTAAATTAATTTCTTACTTAACCCCTTCCCCCCAACATACACTTCTTTATTGCTTTTCTTAAAAAGCCTTCTGTTTAAAACAAGGTAATTTTCAGTATAAAATGATTTTAGAACAAGAGGTGTAAGTATTGTTTTATTAATACCTCATATGTAACATTTTGCTTTTTTCAGCATATGCATCCCACACTTTTAGCCTATATTTATCTCAGCCATATGAGCAGTCTTGATCCTCCGAATGCACATTTTTGCTGAAAAACATTCCCCGTGCTGTAAACACAACATAAGGTTTCACCTCTACAGACATGACAGGGAAAAGTCCCTCCTGAGCCAAAGGAACATCAGCAATCCTCTGCTCGGTCTGGTGCAGCGTACCCAGCAGCAGCTGAGCCTGAGCATGAGGAGCACTGCCTGCCTTACCTGCGTGCTGCTTTGAGGGGGCAGGCCTTCAGAGAATTACTTGTTCTCCTCAAGAAATCAGGTCGTGCTAAGCACTCATCAGTCAGGATCCTTGCTTGGGGTCCCTGACGCTGGGATCCAGGCTGGTCAACCTGTCAGAAACAGCAGTGAAAAATATGTAAGACACCTACCTCCATACTGGACCCGAGGGGAAAACCTTGCTTTACTTGCTTATTCCTGCTTAGGTAAAGATCAGCTGTTTCTTGAACACCTGAAGGAGGTGAGGGGAAGGATCTGGCCCTGACCCTAAGACCCTGGCAAGGCCTGGACTGAAAGGAAAAAATCTTCCTCCTTACTTTCCAGTCCATTTAGACCGGCCAGAAAAGGGCTTTGACCAGAAGGCAGAAGGAGGACTGGCCTATTTGCAGCAGAATAAGAAAGGAGCAACAGATTTGCTCTGCATCTTCCCTTCCTGCTCCTCTGTGCTGAAGTGAAGAGTCACCAGGGAAACAGGAGAGGACAGGAACACCACGAAGAGATGCTGCAAGACCCCCAAAGGCAAGTCCCGGAACAGAGGATGGAGTAGTGTGTGAAAAAACAAAGGCAATTAAAAGTTTAAGACACACACACCCCTCCCTGCCTGTGTTGTACGTAACAAATATGCACACACAGGTTCACTCACTGGATAGAAGTTAGAGTACAACTGTATGTTGAATGAGCCAGAAAAGGTTGAGGATGAAAAGGAGGGCAAGGTGATGGAGCGGAGAGGGAGGTAAGAGTGGGATGGAGATACCAACAGAGCCAGGAGGAGAAGGGTTCAGTGGGAGATGCTGAGGTGGTGAAAGCAACAAGCAGGCAAAAGAAGGTAAATCAGAGCCTGGAGCAAGGCAGGAAAGGCCAGTGGGAAAGGAGGAGGGATCATGCCAGATCTTGTCGGTTTTCTCCTTGCAGAAGTCAGCCAGACCCAGGGCACAGAGGTGGAGCCAGCACTTAACAGAGCAATCGCTCCGCCACGGCTTCTCTCTGGAGAACAGCACCGAGTCTGGATCTCATTCGCCCTGACAGCTCCAATGCAGATACGAAGCTGGTGCCACGCAAATCCATTTCATAGTATTACTTCTCTCCTCCCCAGTCTACCTTGCTTCTTTACTCTCTTTCAAAATCAAAACCGTCCACTCTGCCCAGCCCCTCCAGGGTCCCAAAACCAATGCCAACCATCCACATGCAGCACCAGGGAGCATCAGTGCCCCCCTCCTCCGTACACTTCTGCACAGGACAAAGCAGCTGCTGCTTTATCAGAACCCTGTCCTACTGAACATGGTCCTACTCCTTTCAGACATGCAGTACTGGATAGTAACTCCCAGCCTTCAGAGACAGTGAGGAAAAAAAGATTAATTTATTCAGGCTTGTAAAGTGCTCTGAAACCACAGGATGGAAAGTGTCACAGGCAGGTGTACTGAGAGTCATCAAAAATTTGATTCAATGGCATTTTTAGTACCAATTTTCCCTTTCCATTATGGAAGAACAGTGCTGTCCATGTAGGCAAAACCCATTCTTTCCCTATTACTATTCCGACTGATGTACCACTGTGATCAGAAGCAGAGCACTCTAACATATTTAAGGCCACTAATATTGTATTTTGTCTTCTGTGCGTACTTTCTCAGATGAGAGATTTCAATCATCACTATTCAAGGAGCATTAAGAAACAGAAGATATCTCAGGTCATCTAAATCCTCCTCTCCAGTGGAGGATCATGCCTCTCCCTTCCCCCCACTTTGTTTATATCTAATCCAGTTGAGAGTGTCTCAAGCAGCAGGAATATTCTCCTTTCTCTCAGCAGACCTCAGAAAAGGCTGACAGAGAGCTGTCTTCAAGACTTGTTGCCTGCAGAAACAGTCTGATTTTTTTTTTTTTTTCAAATGCAATTCCTTTGTATCTGACTAGAGCAAAAGCAGTAGCATGTGTGAAACGTGAATAAGGACAATAAAAACCAAGCACCTCCTCTGAGGCTGCTGCAGAGGGACAGAGAGGAACAGCAGCACCAGGGGATCCAACACTCCTTTAGTCCTGTAGGTGAATTCTCAAAAGAGGAGTAGAGCCAGTAGACTACAGGTCATCTGGGCTCAATACATTTTTAATATGAAAACAAAAACAAACAAAAGCTTAACACGGAATTTCTCCTGGTTAGTTGCCCTGGTCTTACATTCTCTATAATTACTGCTGGCTGCTATCGGAGACAAGACCCTGGATTAGACAAGATCTGACCCAGCCTAGCAGCTCATGGGTGCCCCTTCCACAACACTGCACTAAGATACACCCTTGGGGCTTCAGACTCTCTGGCTCCTGAGTTTGGTTTGATTTAAGGAGTGCAAGAAATTCTGCTGGAATTAAGCTGGAGTTTTAATTTTTATTTTAAATCCAACCCTCAAAACAGTTTCCTCCCCACTTCATTGTTTGTTTGCTTTGAGGCCCCGCGATGGTGGTGTATTTTGCAAACAACTCTTTTTTTTTTTTTTTTCCTTCGTGTATACTTCTACAATCATACAAAAGCTTGTATAAAGCCACTTAATCAAGCATAAGGAACAAGAGTTTGCACTATACACTGACACAGAGATCAGGAGGAACACAAAGCACTCCCATTTAACATTTTATACATCACAAATAACACCGAAACAGTTGTAAAACAAGCCAATTCCTCATTATATTTCAGATGTACCACAACACAAATCCTTGCACATTAAATACAACTGAAAGGGTGCTGTGGAGTTGGCATTAGCTTGACAGACGCTGAGATGAGCTGCACTAGAAAGGAATATCTCAGCCCAAGACAGTGCATGTTAAAAAGGCATCTGCTTATTGTCTGATATGTGTATTTATTTACAGAGACAGCTTGCTGACACGCTGAAAGGTTGGGGCGGGTGGTGCAGGCTGGCATTTTTAACTCTCAGCAGGCATTCAGCACGCAGTTGGTTATCCTTCGGTCACGTCGCAAGCTTCCATTTTATTGCCGCGTGGTGGCGAAAGGGGGGGAGCAGGGAAAGGGGTTCCCCCCCCCCCCCCAGCTTGCCCTCAGCACTCACGGCAGCGTTTCCAAGCTGAGCCTCCACAGGCAAGCTGCCCCGAGGGCTCACCCCCCAACTTCTGGGGCCTCTGTTGCCTTTGATACACACATGAGAGGAGGCCTTCAAAAGCAACTCAAGTGCAAATTCTTGTGCATAGAAAACAGATCTTCTTTACCAAGAAAGAAAATTAATTAAGTGGGTAAAATCTCACAGGTTGGAACAGCAGCTGAGGAATTATCTTTCTATCAGGTCGGTAATGAGGACTGAAAAAAACCTCACACAGACATTAACAGCTTTATATGGGCTCGTTGGCATTCCAGATCAGATGTAAGGCTTGGCATTCCCAGGAGCAGCAAATGCAGCTTCAGTTACAGACCAGGCTCTGGGCAAACCACAGTTTGCCCCGCTGAAAAACAGTATCGCTACGATGCCTGGAAATGAAAGGTACATACCTATCTAGCAGAATAACTTTTTCCCACAGAAATTATGCCAAGGGAAGCTGTAGGTCACAACATCCAATGCCCCAGGTTGATCTGACACACCTCCGAAACTGGTATATAATGTGGAGGTGTGTGTGTGTGGGGGGGTGTTTGTGTGAAAGAGAGAAAGAGGCATTTATTCAACATGCTGTGGGGAACGTGAACAGCCAGCACATGCCTAGGTGCACATCAAACGACGTGATCAGACACTGACCAAATCCACCTCTTTCACCCTATTGATTTCCCCACCAACACCGCTGTGTGCTTAACCGTTAACACAAGTACTATTCGATACTAACAAAATAATTTAGACTATTTCCTACTCCCCGCAATGGAAAAACTACCCGATTTAGGGTCAATAACAAGAATGGCAAGCAGTGATGTATTCATGGTAACCACTGCAACAGGGGATCTCAACCACAAAGAAGCCACGGAGCCTACCGAGCATGACACTGAACCGTGCCAAGGTACTAAGAGCTACATTTCAGAAATGTGTTAATTTCCCTGGTTACTAAGGTACAGGAATTTGCCTCCCCCAAAAGAAAGAGAGAAAGGAAAAAGTAGTGAACTACTGGCCACCTTTCCAAAAACACACCTTTGGACACCTTCCTGCTTCTTTGTTACTACTCGTATCGCCGGAGTCCCAGTGAGGCCCCACAGAACCAAGCTTTTTACTGTGTGCAGCATGAGAGCTTGCTACCTAAACACACAGAAAAGCAGGAAAAAAGGAAATAGTAATATTTCTCTTGTTACAGATGGGAAGTAGAAATCCAGAGAGATACCAGTGGTAAAGATCAGCCAGGAAGCCAGTGACAGAACTGGGAAGAGAAAATCTTCAGTCTCAAGACTATTCCTTCACTATGGAGATCATTGTTCCTTCCTTCCTTGTTCTCCTTTCTTTCCCTGAAAGTTGTTTCTTTTACAGCTTGTAAAGTCCATCCTTAAAAGCCAAGTCCACAGCCTACTGATGTGCTACGCATTTTCAGGAGGAGGAGGCACAAGGATTCTGATGTAAATGAGCATAAGGAATTCTCAGCTGGCACCCCAAAACTGCCCCAAAGAGGCTAACTGCCCCCCTTTAAATGAACAGTGAATACTGGTACGCGATGTTTTGTATAGGATTCCAATATACTTAATCATGGGGCCTTCAGCTGACCAACTCAGAACCACGCTTGTGCATGTACTTCTGAAGTAGCTGTTTCATATTTTACCTGTGTGTTATCAATCGGATGATATCCCTACAAGATGAGGCAATTATTTTGAAAATACGTTTAAATTAAAGATACTTCTTGTAAAGGTTTCACTAATTACCCAGGCTTACCAAAGGCTAAGGATAATGGAGTATTTTCCCACCATCTCTGCCTGTCATTAATCCACATGCCCTCTTGTGTCCTAAACCCATTGGGAAAAGAAACCAATGGCACTTCCTGAGCAACAGGATTAAATTACCTACTTTGAGGAAGCAGGATGCCTAACAGAAGCATTTGCATTATTAATAGCTATTTAAAATCATTTTACATCATCTTCTAAGAAGTACCGCTACTTCCTTAGTTTCTCTTGGGTCTGAAATATCTGTAGTGCATAAACAACAGTTAGTCTAACTGTTTTTCA